GCAACGAGTAATTGTCTATAATTTTTCTTTGTTTTATCTTCATTTTGAACTTATCTAATGAGTTCTGTTTACTTGCAGCTTATGTGCAATAAATGAAACTTTTTGTTTTTCTTAACTTTCTTCGTGTTTTCTATATATATATATATATATTTCTTCCGAAAATGTCTCACAGTAATCTTACCAGAAACTTTTTCACCGTGTAATATTGGACACTAAAATGTGGAGTTTAGGGAAAATTTTGTCAAAAAAATGCCTTTCAGTAGATATCTCACTGTTGTTTCTAGGCAATTTTTTGATTTTTTCCGATATTGGACTTTTTTCCTCTATGGTTGCTAAATAATGATTGTACCTTAGAAGGTTCATCAAAGTATAACTCACCATAGCTCGTATCAAAGGCGCAAATGTATTCAGAGGTTTGAAACTGTCTAATGAGAGACGTCTTCCCCACTTCATCACCTCCCATCAATGCAACTTTGTATCTGCAGAAAAGGAAAATGCAATTAATATAATTATCAGTAAATAATAAAAGGGGTATTTATTTTCTTTTTTAAATAATAAATTACTTATGAGTTGTATTTAATTGAATATTTCATGACAAGATGAAAGGAGAAAGAAGCTCTTCCGCAGGACCACATACTCCTAGAGTGTACGTACGCTAATTTTCTCCATATAAGCCTAATTTCATTAAAAAAATTATATAAAGTCATTACTGCAATCAAATATGCTGAAATTTCCAGTTTACTATCGTACCTGAATATACTGCAGTAAAATGTTCGTGATACTGAAAAAAAAATATCTTGCGATTGTGAACGACAAGTCTACACCCCCATCTACCAATAAGTATTCCTTCCTCTTCCTACTCCGTCAAGCAAAAATCCAATCAAAAATAAGTAATTCATGTGTGCCCAATCCTCTTGAGAGAGAGAGAGAGAGAAAGAGAGAGAGAAAGAGAGAGACAGAGAGAAATTATAACGGACTCCAACCTCCATCTAGTGTCACTTATAAAATTGAAATAAAACTTTCGTAATTGAAGTCCGTTAGATCAATGTTTCCCAAAGTGTGGTACGTGTATCCCCAGGGGTACGCGAACAGTTTAGCAAAGGTTAGCGTTCTTATGCGAAATATCTTGCAACAAACGAAAATTTCAAAATTTTTTATTTACCAACAAAGCTAGCCATGAAAATTTACGATTACGTATTTTTCTATTGGCTACTTTTGGCAGAGTTAACTGTTAATAATTAGTGGCGTTAACAGTGATTTTTAACTTTTGCGCGATTTTTTTTATCGTAAAAAATTCCTTCGTTTTTCTATTAGTGGTACTCAGCTTTACGAAAAATTTAGAAAGGGTACACAAAAGTCATGAGATTGGGAAACACTTCGTTAGATCATAGGCTGGTGGATTCAGAAAAGCTCGTCTCATGTATAATACCATGAGCCATGACGAATGACCCACGTCATCAGGTATATGTAATCACGGTTCTGAACGGGTTAACTAGCCAGATTTATTTCATAACCGTCGTTGAATATGCGACCATTGCTGAACAGCAGCAATTTTGGGGGTTTATGACTACCAATGTTCAACTCCGCAGCCTTGTACATTGTTGTAAGAAATTAAGAGAATTTGCAGACTGGGTCGATTATCTCTAGAGCTACTGGGCCAATTTTAATGAAATTTGATACAATACAAACAAATAACCATTCAACAATTGTAATACACACATGATCGTGCGGAACTCTCGTTGGAGTAGAAAGGTATGAAACAGCGGTTCCAGAATAAATACAAAAAGGGTTAATAGGGGTATGGTCCCCTCTTAGAGATATACAAGCCTTGCAGCGTGATTTCATACTTGAAATAAGGCAGTTCATCATTTCCTGTGGCACTTGGTCTCACTCATTCAGCATCGCTGTTTTCATTCCGCGGATGGTTCTTGGAGTTGGGTAGAGAGTTGCAATTGCCCTCCCCAGAACGTTCCAGACGTTCTCTACAGGGTTGAGGTCTGGAGATCTGGCTGGCTAATCCATCCGGTGAATATCTTCCCTCTCTAGAAATTAGTCGACCTGAAGAGCTCCACGTGGCCTCACGTTATCGTCTATTAAAATGAACTTAGAGCCAACTGCACCCCTGAAAAAGTAAACATAGGGCCCCAAGACCTCATTCCTATACCTCACACCACTCACAGAGCCTCTTTCAAAGACATGGAGAGGTGTGCGGCCATCCAACATGCTTTTAAAACACAGCTCTTCAGTAACTAAATAAAAAATCTCTATTCAAGACATTTTTTCTTCTAAATTTCACACATGGTCAAAAATGTAACTAAAAAAACAGTAACTCAAACTTTTGTTGTTTTTACATCAAACATTAAATAATGTATTCAGTAATAATTCTCAGTATTTTATTTTATTACGGATTAAAATATATTATACACATTTATTTCTTATTTGTTACAAAAAATTATAAATGACTAATTTTGTTTAATCATTTTAACTATTTTTTTAAATTTAAATTGTCTAAAGAAATTATTACCATTAGAATAAAGAATTAACGTAAACTATTCATTCATGCTTAAATACTTTTAATATTAGTATCCCAATAATCAGTTTTTAAAATTTAAAATGAGCACTTTTATTATAACTTACAATTCTCTAGTCACTATATTAATTAAAGGAAACAATTTTGAACTTTATCAAGCACATTTGTAGGAATGTTAATTAGCTATAGCATCGGACACGCATTTCCTTTGCAGTAATTATCCTGATGAAACCCTAACTGCAATACCGACATTTCAATTAGGTTTTACTAGATCACTTTTCGAATTAAGCAAACATCTTAGGATATCCCAGTAATATCCTAGGACAGCGCTATTATTCAGTCAAAGTGGCATTATTAAAGCATTACGCATTGCGTGAAATTAAAATGCTTTTCGGTTTACATTATTTCAACTATTTAAACTAAATACTTCTAACTTTTCTCTTTAAAGTAATTTAAATCCAGTATGATAAAAGTAAACGTTTTCAAACATAATTTCTAAATTCCAACACGTAAATATTTTTTTAATATGCTGATTTATTATTTTAGTTTCTAACTCTCAAAACCATTAATCACTATTTTTACATCAGTAAAAAATAATTTAAACATTTTGATATTTTTAAAAAAATGATGAATAATAAAAAAATTGATTAGCATAAAAATGATGATATGCATGAAAATTCCATTAAATCAAAGACATATACCTGTTCATAAACTTTTATTAAGCATATTAAATATTCTCCTTTTTCTGAGTCTGTGTAAAATTTTCTAATATCCCTAACTTTTCATTTATATAAAATATTTCTAAAAAATCTCCCTAAAAATCATCACACACTAAAAAATCATCTAATATAAAAATATTTCTAAAAAATCTCACTTTACCTTTGCTTATTTTTATAGCATATTTAATTGTTATTTTATTTTATAACCGTCGTTGAACAGCCGACCCATTTTCATGGGTTTACGACTACTTACGTTCAACTCCGTAGCCTTGTAATTTTGAACCAATCCAGAAGACAAGGAAACTCCTGGATCAGTACCCCCAGAGGTATTGATTTGTTGTGGGAACATGGAGGACTTTGAGACTCGACAGATTTAACGTGCATCAGTCACCATTTACTACACGGGGAGTCTTCGGCCGGCGAGGATCGAACCCACGACTTCTTGGATATGGGCCCAGCAAGTTATACCATTAGTTTGAACTAAAATTAATTTCAATGACAGTTCTTATAAAAACTGACGCCCGGTGGCTGAGCGGTAGCGCTTCGCGCTGCCTTGCCACAATTCCCTGGTTCGATCCTCGGGCCGGGCAAGGCTGACTCAGCCTTTCATCCCTTCAGTGGGTCGATAAATGAGTACCAAGCATGCTTGGGAACTAAACATTGGGGGTTCCGAGTTCGGCTGACCACCTGACTGGATCATCTGCTCCTGCACCCCAGTGCCCAAGGTCAAGAAAACTGAGATGGGCACAGTAGGCTTTGGCTCTCAAGGTCTGTCGCGCCGCTGAGTTTAGTATTCTTATGAAAACTAGTTCAATACAAAATTTTGGCATATCTACTAATTCGTATTAAAACAAAATTAAACCAAAACATATATATTTAGTGCACCATTGCGTATCAAAACGAATTCTACACAAATTATTTTTGTTTTGAATCTGAGTATTCCAGAATGTAATATACGACTTAAAGTAGGCAAATATGTTTAGTTTAACTAATATTGTCAAAATGTGAGTGAATTAAAATATTTCTAACCAACAACATCGCATTAAAACGATATTGTTCTAATTTGCTTCATCTAATATATCTAATGTATATCTCTTGTATATCTAATTTGCTTCAAATTAAAAATTTCAAATGTTTTGATTATAAAATCCATCTCACAAGAGCCATCCGTTTTTTATACCGCTTTACTCTTTGTAATCTAAATCCAAAGTATTTAATACTTATGCTAAATCCCTGTATACTAGGTCTACGTAATAAACTTAAAAATTTTACTGATAAAAAAAAATACGACAATAAAACTAAACAGTTCGAAACAGTATTTTTAAACTTTATGTGAAAGAATTTAAACCTTACTATAATTCAATTTGAATAATTTAAAATGTTCTGTTGATAAAATCCATCTAACAACAACCACCCGTTTATATTTCATAATCCATATTTAAAGTATTTAACACGCATGTAAAATTCCCTGTATGCCAAGTCTGCTTATTAAACTCAAACATTTTACAGATAAAAAGAAAAGTTATTGTACGACAATAAAACTAAACAGTTAAAAACAGTATTTCAAAACTTATGAGAAAAAATTTAAACCTCAACATAAGTCATTTAACAACAAATAAAATTTTAGTGCCATAAACAGACACGCTAGGAACTAATATATTATCATGAATAGAGATAATAATTTGTCCGAGCTCCTAAATTAGTTTGTTAAAAGGCAATAAATGCATAGAGAGTAATTAAGATTGACAGAAAAATAAGTTCCCCCTTAACAAATGAAATATTTACTTAAAATGTCGTAAATTTAAAATTATCTAAGAACATTATCACCACTTTATATATTAATGATCTTTCATACTTTGTTGTGCTACTTTTAAATGTTTTTCTTTTATATTTAACCACATCATCTACAACCTAAAGTAAATTAATAGTTTTGATCAATCTTCAAAACACGCAAATTGGGGGAGATAATATATGACTGCATTTAAAACTTTTACTTAGTTTATTTGTCCTTAAATAAAGAGTACAAATAAATATCACCTATGAATGTGTGATATTTATCAGTGTATAAGTGCATTGAAAATGACTACATTATTTTAGAAACAATAGATTTCACCATAATAAATTTTAGTAACGTTCTGAAAAAGAATCATAAACTGTAAAATAAACTTAAACATTAGAAACAATAAGTAGTTCAAAATAAAATTGATATACTGTTTATAGAACTCAAGTACTAAGATAGTGTATTGCTGGAAAAGAGTCATATTTTTGAACTGTAACAGGAATTGAAAAAAATAAGATTGTTTCTTTCAGAATATTTTTTTAAATACTGTCAAGTTATTTGAAGCATTGATCTTAACTATGTTAAAATACTTAGAACTGGAATATATGGGTCTTTCTTTGAACTGGATCTATTATTCTTAGAACTGGAGCTATGCTAATAGTCTTTGAACCTTAAACTGGAATATTCTTTGAACTGGAGCAACGCTAATAATCTTTGAACCTTGAATTGGAATATTCGTTGAACTGGAGCTACGCTAATAGTCTTTGAACCTTGAACTGGAATATTCTTTGAACTGGAGCTATGCTAGTAGTCTTTGAACCTTGAACTGGAATATTCTTTGAACTGGAGCTATGCCAATAGTTTTTGAACCTTGAACTGGAATATTCTTTGAACTGGAGCTATGCTAATAGTCTTTGAACCCTGAACTGCAATATTCTTTGAACTGAAATCATGAATTGAAGAGACGAACATTGTTCCTTTAAAAAAAAGCATACGCTGCTGCTGCAGAATGATTGAGTGGTAAATGGGTGCATTAAATAAATAAATCATATTTAATAACTAACAAATTTAATAAAAAATAAAGCAACATGATACGAAATGGGGCCTTTCAATAAGCAATCCACTTCCACTCATTGCCTGCTTCATTAGTGATTACAGAATTATTGTGAGTGATTACAACGCCCTCTTTTGGTCAGGCAGAAATTCCGAACACCTGTAAAGTGAACTCAGATACTAAAGAAAACGATATTTTTTCTTGCAAAAATAGAATCATATACTTTGAATTGCAGAAACGAACTTTATTTCTTTCAGAAAAGAGTAATGCACTGTAAAATTACTTCTTGCAGAAATAGAATTATATATTTCTTAACTGAAATCAAGAATTAGTGTAAAGAATTTTGTTACTTTAAAGTAAACAAAGACAATGGAAAAAGTACCACCCATATTTCATAAAAAAATAATTTATTTTACCTTTGTGGTTTTCTGTTGCAATTCCAATGCGAACTGCTGGAAGTCATGGGATACGATTTAGTTGAGGCGACATCCCATTGGCTATTGCTGCAGGATGGGGTAAAGTCCAGAGCAGGAACTGATGTCAGTGAATGGGATCGAAAAGAATCACCCCAGTTGATTAACCCTTTAGATGTCACAGTGAAATTTCGAAGGCGGCGAATATCTTCCTCGTCAAATTCGTCAGCTTCCGCCAATGGATAAGGCCTATAAAATAATTGAATATCATATGATTCAGTATAGTGTTAAAAAACCTGGAGGCAAGGTTTATACGAAACACCTCCTAAAAAAAAGAAGGCTTCCATATGGATTAATTTGGCAATCCTACACAATGAACATAAACTGCGCACTGGAGATTATTAATAAAGATGTCACAACGTTAGAACTACTAGAGGATCGGATTCCCTGTTTGTGGTTGTGTGAGCAGGCCTTATCTATTCTAGAAGGTGTTGATATAGTTCGCATAATATGAATTGAGAATTACAAAGCAACCGATGGCCAAAAATGCTACCGTACACTGCTATAGGTGAGCTTCCCTATTATGGACTGGTTTCTAATACGTATTTGAACGGGTATGTTTATTTTATTTATCATCTCTTTTTAATTATCGTCCTTAAATTATCATCCTTTTATGTTAATCTTTCATTTTCCAATAACTGTTAATTTTTAATTTTCTAATAACTGCTAATTTTCATTTTCTAATAATGTTCGAAAGTTGCTCATACTTGTGTATTTTATGGTAGTTTATTTGGCGACTACTTACAAATCTCACCAATTTGATTGCAAAATCTAAAAGCTTTGATGGAGCAGCTATTTCTATGCCAATTTGAATGTTCTAAATCTTTTTCAAGTTAGTAGCCGCAGTATGGAGTCACGTTTAAATATGAAAGGTGTCATGAAACATACAATATCGCTAAATATTTTAGTTCATTTTTAATAAAATTATTTCTTAATAATTTCTCCTTTTTTTTTAACCTTTTCGTGGCAGAAATGCGGTTTATTAAGAACTCGCTTGGGTTTTTTTCTCTTAATATTGCCTTAAATCTTATTTTAATATTTAATCTTCCTACTTTGAGAAACAAAAAGTGTGGTCAAAACTACCAGAGTATGTTTCTAACTCTAAGGGAACGCCAAAAAGTTCGGTAATTTTTACCGAAGTGCTTTGGTAATGGATTTTGGTAAAATTAACAAAAATGTGGTTTTATGATGTGCGATAAAATTTGTTCAATGTGAAAAAACTATTTACATTGGGCAAAAAATTAAGTTGATATAAATATGGATGACTTACAGAGACAACGACACAATTGTGAACTATATAGGCTACTTAAGGAAGTAGATATCAACAAATACATTGAAATAAGTAACTTAAAGCTTGAGACTAACATCGGTCGAATGGATCCTGCTTCATTAACATTTAAGATCTTCAATTACAAACCATTGGAAACTAAAGTTTAAGGTAGGCCTAAGATCAGATGGCTTAACTGTGTGCAAGAGGATCGAGTTAAATATATATATATTTTTCCAGTGTGTGGGAAAATCATTCTCCAAAACAAAAATTTACTCTCCAAATTTACGATCTTATTGGATTTGGCATGGTGGTCCTGTTACCCATATTTTGACAGTCAAAAGTGTAAACTTTTCGAAAAAGAGGTAAATTTATCATCGGGACCATGTTCTCCAGATTGCAGCTACTACCCATATTTTGATAGTTAAAAATCTAAACCTGTCGAAAAAAGTACTTCTTTCAAAAAAAGTACGTTTTATACATGATTCTGCTACCTAACTAATAGTTAATACTAGTTACTTAAGATATATGAGATCCCCATACTGGATCATTATGATCGGCATTTAGTTTGCAAAAATCCAATCATTAGAACAAAAGTTATTCAGGATGATATCTTTTTTCCCCCAAAACTATACACTACTATTAGCAGAGTATGTAATAAAGATGAAAGATGAAGAATATCTAAAGTCAGTGATTCTAAATACTTATGCTTAACTTCTGGAAAAACTGAGAAAACTGATTATACTATTTCAATCAAAGAAACCTTACTATTTCCAATACCGTCATCATCATATGAGTTCTTATTGAATTCTCATTATGGACCCTGCAGTTCTTCTTGATGGCATTCTATGTTCCTCTCGACAAATATTCTATAGTTTCGCGAACTAATTACATTTTCAGTGAAAAGCGGAGAAATAAATTTTTGAACATATAATAAAGAGCGAGAACTTTATTTCAATTGCAAATCTCTTTCCTGAAAGATGTTTAGTAATTCGCAAACTTTTATAAAAGATTTATTTTGAAAGAGAATTTATTCTTCCGCGGTGAGAATGAATAGATTGATAAAACTTGTGACATTGAAAGTTAAGTTAATAAGAAATAGTTAACTGAAAACTTCGTGTATAACTATTATTAAAATTAGAAAATTTTCAAACTCAAAGTCAATATCAAAGCACTTCGGTTAAAATCACCGTGCTTTTTGGTGTTACCATAGTGCCAAAAACTCTGTAAATTGCACCATATTCAAGTAGTTCTGACCATGCTTTCGTTTCTCAATGTATTTCTGAGAAGATTTATGAGCATGTTAAAATTAATATTTAAAAACAAGTTGATATTGATATTGGAAAGTACGTTAAAACTAATATTTCAATATTTAAAACCAGTTTTTGAAGAAAGAAAAAAAATTACAAATATATTTTAAAAGTTATATGTTTTGACTTTGACGTAGAATTTTGTTTAAAGTAGACACGATTATTACGGATAAAGTTTAACTCGTAAATAAAGTTAACATTATATTTTGAGTATGAAGTTAACATTACGAACGAATTCAATACGTAATTACAGATACGTATTGAATTCGTTCGTATACATGTAGGACATATATTTCACTTGTACATTGAGAACGTACCCTTCGGCTAATAGAATCAGGAATTTGGTTGCTTAGTTAATAAGATATAGCTACTAAGCTAGCTGATAGTGAAAATTATAGAAATATATTTGGTACATAATGCCAATTGAAAGAAATTCTTTTTATTTTATTAGGAAATGTCGAGAAAATGATAAAATTTGAAAATACATTGAAAATGTAAAAAAAAAAGTCAAAACACAAAATTTGTCAATTACTAAGAATAAAGAATTATTACTCTTGTATCTTTAATATATTGTAAAATACGATAAAGTTATTACCATATTTTAAAACCTAATTTCAATAACTGTAATTCTTAATTATCTTTCCTAGTCATTTTTTTTACCGATTTTTAAACAATTGGGTTTCATACTAACAGTGTACGAATAAAAAAAAATTTAAATTACAGTGCTGCATGTTAATGACATTTCTAGTAAAAAAACGTAATTCTAGTTAATAAAACCAAAATACTCAGTATTTAAGCCTATTATTTGGTAATTTATGTGTTCATATGGTAAGGGTTTACTGGAAATTTTGGATTCAAAAATCATAGTTCCTATTACCTTACATTTAGTAAAAATTTAAAACTGAAAAGTAAATTTAACAGAATAAGCGGTTTTCTTAAGCCATGCTCTAAAGTGAGAAAAGTACCTAATTTTATTACGTTAACCAAATTTTATCATACACTATGAACTATATTTTAATTTTAGTTTTAGAAAAATCATTGCCAAAGCGTTTCAGTAAATTTTACTGAGTTTTTTGGTGTTCCCTTAAAACTAGAAAAATGGTAAATTTTACCATTTTCTGGTAATTTTGACCATATTTGTTTCGCAATGTACAAACTTTTACAGATGCCTATTTGATTTTTGCTCAAGCGTATCGGAGAAACTTTACCTTAGTTTATAAAATAAAACTCGAAACTTCCTTGGAAAGAAAATAATTAAGGAAGGAAGAAAAAAATACTTCCCCAAATACTCTTTCCACTTACTATGAAAGAAATTTTGTTGCTGCTCTTCTTTTATATTTTTACTTATTTTCTTAATTTTGAAAAATAGTTTTTCAACACATAAAATATCTGAAAAACATTAGAGCAGAAACTAAAAAGTAATTTTTAGATTATTCAGCATTTAAAAATAATAATAATGATAAGAAAAAATCACCATTCATTGCATCTTTAACAACAACAAAAAATTACAAAGAAAAGATTTGAGTCTGGAGTTAATTTTATTCTATTAAACACATCAGTTAGAAAGACTTTTCACAGAAACCTGTCAAAAATATCTATGTAGAAATAAATTCTAATCCTGAAAGTTTTAAAGAAAGTTTGCGTCTTTCCGTTAATGTCTCTTTCAAAGAATTTTTTTTCTGAAACATTTCCAAAAAGAAATAGTTTTCTAAAGTTTTTTTTTGTCAGAAAATCAGAAACCAACTTGAATGCTAGAGTAAAATATTTTGCCGTTAGTAACTTTCAAAAGCACATTTGTATTTTATTATTATTTTTATAGTTTAAGTAATTGATGATTGAATTAAAAAACAAAACAAGAGTAATATTTAAAACATCTAAACGTTTGTTTCACTATTATAGTTTTTTTTTTAAATTTAAGCAGATTGTAAGAAAATAATGCAAATTATTATAAATAGAAATGTGATTACAATTGAACTTGTCTTAGAAGTAAAATCATTGGGTAAAAACCTATTGGGGATTAAATTTTAATTCAATGTATACTGATAAAAGTAAATTAGAATAGTAATTGAAATTTCTCTTTTAAATAAATTCTTTGGAGTGAAAATTTATCAGGGATTAAATTTAACTGAAATAAATAAATATAAGCTACAATGGATGATAGAATTTTTTTTAGGAAATAAATCCGTTAGAACAAAAACCAATTTAGAATTAAATTTAATTAATGATGAGAAATGCGAATTGCTATATGTGATTAAAAAATTTCTTAGAAATGCATTTTCGGGGCTATATACATATATATCGACGTCGAAATTTAATTTTCGCTGAGAAATTTTAGTTTATTTTTTCACCGATTACTATAGGTTGTTGAACCTATTGGGGCTAAAATTAAAATTTTATTGAAAAAAAACTACGATAGGTAATTCAAATAATTTTATTTAGTAAAAAACTTCGTTAAGGGAAAAACTTATGGGGCTTAATATTTAATTTATATTCTTTAAAGCGCAATATAAAAATTTTTCAAATTAGAAATTTTCTCAAAAATTTATGTTGAAAATATAACAGTAACGGAATTATATTTTATTTAGTTTGTAAATTGTTTAATTTTTGAATTT